GTTATTAAAGTGTTTCCTATTACTTCTTATAGTTTATAAATATACCAAATCTAAGTTTATAAATATACCAATTCAGGTGTGTATTCCCTCCACTATGAGTCAAGCCTGGGGACACACATAGTTGCTGACTAAATAGTGAACATAGTTATTTTGTTCTGTTCCCATGGCAATTAGGAGGACATGGGCCCTTACTTTTCCTTCCTGTATTGAGCAACTACAAGGTACGCACTGGGCTGTTTTCACCAACCATGAACCCGGCGCTTCTAGAATTAGTATGTCAGTGTCCCATCTCTGAAAGCAGATGTTCTGATGGGATGGAGAGTACATCGTCTCCTCAACATTGGCAAGTGTGACAGGAAGCTCATCATAAATATCCCAGCTGGGTGGCCCCCCCAACCCCATACACCAAATGCATAAGCCCTTGGGTCTAGGCATCCACCTCCCAGGGGCATTTTCCCCCACGGATGTTTTTGATTGATGCTAATGTTCAAAGACCCCAGGTAGCTCCTCTGAGTTTTCCTCCTTTCCGAAATAGAGAAGTCTTATTTTGCCTGCTGCCTCAAGAAATCGTTGGGAGAATCAAGCGAAAAACCAAAAGGACTTAGAAACTTCCCTTTTGAAGTGGTCCTATTTTACTGAGCTGTGGCATTTCCTTCATTAGGAATCTCCACTAATAAGGACAACTGATAGATTTCTCTCTCGTGAAAACTCTCCCTGTGCTTATGGTCAGCAGCAAGTAACCCTTTAACTTGTTCTCTATGAATCCAGCTTTCTGGTTTCCTGAGCTGTGGTACATTTTACCCACATTGGACAAAGTTCTTTTAAGTTTTTTTCTTATTTTCCTTGTTATTATCCCCTAGAATTAGAAGTTAGAGTTATAACATCATTTTGAGGGGCCAGCCCAGTGGCTTAGTGATTAAGTTTGCACGCTCCGCTTCGGCAGCCCGGGGTTTGTGGTTCGGATCCTGGGCATGGACCTACGCACTGCTCATCAGGCCATGCTGTGGCCACATACCATATAAAGTAGTGGAATATTGGCACAGATGTTAGCCCAAGGCTAATCTTCCTCAGCAAGAAGAAGAGGAGGACTGGCAACAGATGGGAGCTCAGGGCCGATCTTCCTCACCAAAAAAAAAAAGATATCATTTTGAAATATAGAATTAAAATGGGAAAGGCTAAGGAAATAATTTTATGTAAAACCATACGTACATTTATTTTAATAAAGTTAAAATACAGGAAAATCTCTCTGGCTTAATACTATAATTTTCCTGTAAAGTCAATGTAAGTGTTAAATTAGTACTTTGGAATTATGTTATAATAAAGCCATGTAGTTCATATGATGGGCAAAGTATTAAACTTTGCCACCATAATTACTTAGCATGCCCTTGTGTTCATTCTGAAAATTGTTCTTCTGATAACAAAAGTGATATTTATTGTGCAAAAATTGGAAAAATGTTTTAAAATACAGAAATCAAAAGAAAATCACTTGTAATATTTTGACTCAGAGCTAAGCACTGTTAACATTTTATGTATACACATATATATAGAAACAGATATATAGGAATTTTTTTTTCTTGGATAGAAATATTTTATTCCCGGGTGCAAATGCAGAAAACAGGTAACATAAGTTGTTTGCTAAAGTGAAAAATGTGAGCATGGATTATGTTTTCTATGCACAGAGGACATACACTTTTTAATTTTTTTTACCCCAAATGGATGCTATTGCATATGCTGTTTTGAATCTGTATCAAGATGCATTTCACTTTTAGTAACAGAAACCCTAACTTACACAAGTTTAAACATGAATGAAATACATTATCTCATGAAATAGGAGGTACAGAGATAGGAAGGAGTGCAGGGTGGTTCACTGACTCGATCAGGTTATCAAGATCAAGGACCCAGGTACTTTCCATTCCTTCTGTCCTGCCACCGACATTATCAGCTTCATGCTAAGGTTGTTCCCTTCATGGCCATAAAATTGCCACCATGAACATCTGGGACAACATGATTTCTTGTTCACATCTAGTGGAGGAAGAAAAGCCTGATCCCCAACGATGGAGTAGAAGTCCTGCCCTTTGGTCTGATGAGACTAACTTAGGTGTAGCTACCCAAGACCAGTGATAGTGACTAGGTACATGCCATAGGGATGGTTTCCTCTATTAATCACTGGCAAGAGGGACTGATTAGCATAGACTCATTGGGGCCAGTTCTCCAACCCACATTGCTACTATAAAATGGTGGAGATATGGAATAGATGTTGGAAGTCAACCTCAGCCTCAGTAACCTAACATGTTCACTGAATAGTTATGATCAAATATAAGGGCCGTATTGAAGGATCACTTAGCTTCCTTTCTCATCATTGCCTTCAGGCTCTGGTCTAATTTGCTCTGATGCTGACAATTCTGTCTCTCTTCCTGCTTTTGTTTACACACTGCCTTCCCTCAGAGTTGCAAGGATGGCTACCAGCAACCCTGGGACAATGTATTTTCTGGCTGGCCTCCAGCAGGAGTGAGAAGATCCTTCCCCTAAGCATGATCCTTCCTTTTGGTCTGATTGGGCAACTTGCGTCCCATGGCAATTCCTCACTGTCTTGAAGGTGGCCGGGGTACTTTGACTGGTCTCTGATGACCAGGACGCAAACCTGGTGCTGGAAACGGAGCTGACTTGCTTTCTCACATGGCTGCCTGGGGAAGCCATGGGCACCACAGCAAGATTAGAGTCTCTTAGGAAAGAAGACTCAGAGAATGGATGCTTGGTACCCACTTCATTCTCTTTGAAAATTGTCCTTCTTCTTAAGCATTACAACAATTATCAGAATTTGAAATTAAGATGAATGTTTTAGTTATTTTAATTTTTATTAAAAAGTCAGTTTCTTTTGTAGAAATTCTCTGTTTAGAAAGAGTTGGACAGGAAGAAAGAATAAAGTCTTCTGGGGAACTGATCTTCATTAATCTAATGTTCTCCAGAATTTGGGCATTTTTGTGGTGTCATTTTGGCAATAGATAAGTTTTTCTTGTTGAGTTTTGACTTAAACTGGTACAGAATAAAAACTAAAAGAAAAAATAGCTAAAGATATAAATTATAATAGATGAAACTTTAATATTTCTATTCATTATGTACTTTTTTATTTTCAATACCCTTGAAACAATGTCATAAATAATATAGGGAATTAATGGACATTTTTAGAGAATAATTCTGAGAAATAATAGGCATATTTGAAATTACTATGGCAAAAATCAGATGTTAAAGGAAAAAAGTAATGATATATTCAGTTTTTAAATTGTACTATTAAATGTGTAACGTCATGTGTAATAAATATTCATATTTAATTTTAGATGCTAGTGTAACATATGCTAAAATAAAATGGAACAATTTCTATGGTTCTATAAAGGAATCTATAAAGGAGTCATAAATAATTATAGTAAAACTTTTTTGAAACATTTTTATGAGACTAGAAATTGAAAATTTCCTAATAGGAGAATTTTCTTAAATGAGAAATGAGGTAAGTTCGTCATAGAGACCTCAAATTGTAATATATCCTATGGGAACCCTGAATAAGCAGTAACTTCTTAAGATAATCTTATAAAATGTATAAAAATCAAGAGTTTTTGAAAAAGCTTTCAAAAGGTAGCAGGAAGAAAAGACTATTATACTAAAATTTCTCGTGAGAGGTTACTTATTCTGCATATTTTTTATGTTACTAGAATAGGGATCTTAGTTTACCTGAATCTGGAAAAACTGTGACTGTTTAAGATTTAAAAACGAACAAATATAACTATTCACTGTAGAGTAACAATTGTGGGAAGTAACACAATTCACTCCATGGTCCCAGGATGTTTCTAGTGTGTGGGAAATAAGAGCGTAGACTAAATGACATTTTGGTGCTCAGAAGGTGTTTTACCCTCAAAGCCCAAGTGACCAGCCAAGGAAAAGTTTACTCACCTTTGTATTTTTAACAAATTCTACCTCCCCCACCTCCTTAACTAGTATAAAGAAAACAGAATTGCAGCATGAGCAAAGGATATGAGGGCACCCATTTTATTTAAAAGTTGCTAGAATCTATGATATTTGTGTCTTTATTCTTTTTTCTTCTTCTTCTTTTAAGTAAGTAATCCTGGGAAAGTCTGTGTATGGTATGGTTGGCAAGAGATCAGTCTACATGTGAGAAGATCTAGTCCTCCCTCTGGTATTTTTACCTTGCTGTGTTACCTTGGACAAACAACTTAACCTCTCTGATCCTCAGTTTTCTTATTTCTAAAGAGAGGGTGGGTGGGTCAAATATGAGTCAGAGATTCCTTTTTGCAGTAGAATTGGGGTATGTGAGACGCATTCAGTAATGATCAACCAGACTGTTGGCACCTCTAGGATGTGGGGAGATGGCACAGGTGAAGCATATGCAGTCCTGGAGTTAGTGATTATGGGAGGATTGAGTTAAGGGCTCAGCACTATGCCCACTGGCAACTTTTCTTCTACTCATTAGTCTAGAAATAGATGTACAGAGGCTCTAATGAGGCTCCTGGGGAGCGGGAGAAAATCAATTCCTTTGCCCAGGGTGGCTCCAGGCTTTGGTGGTCCAGCCCTCTATTTGAAAGGTTTGTGACCAGTGCATGATCAAATAGCCCTGCCTGAAAGAAAAAGGCCAGCTCCTCTAGAATTTGTTCTAACTTGTCTTGTTATGAATTCCCAGAAGAACCTTTGAGTTTTAACAAACCTGGATGTGTATGTTCCCAAATGTCATCTTCCTCACAACCAAGGGTTGGTACTGCCATGGAGCCCCTGGAATGCTGAGTCCTTCACTGTAGGAGTGTGTCAGTTGGACCTGAAAAGGCTCAGCCACTGCCATATTCCTAAACTTGCCTGTGTGTTTGTTTTTGTCCTTCCAGGTCTTTTTTTTTTTAACTCTGGACCTTCCTTTATAGTTGGCCTCATAAATTAATTTGTCTTAGAAATAAGAAGTTCCATAGAGTGGCTTTGACATTGTCCCTTCGTCTCTGACACAGCGCCATCACGCTGGAGAATCAACTGGTGATCCTCGCGGCAACAGCAAGTGATGCAGGGTCTTACTATGTGCAGGCCGTCAACGAGAGGAACGGAGAGAACAAGACGAGCCCACTCATTTATTTGAGCATCGCAGGTGAGTATTGAAATTCCAAATGATAGTTCTAAAAGCAATAAAATCTTGATTTAATTATTAACCACTGTCTCCTGGGGCATTTTGCAATAAATCTTCTCTCTCTAGTATAGTGGTTATGGTTTACTATTGATCCAGTGTCAATAGTTGCTTTCTTCGAAGTGATAGGCAGAAAATGACAACTCTGGATGCAAGATCTCATTTGTTTTGAGGATTAAAAAAACAGTTTTGCTTTTGTACACTGTTAATATATATTGTTTTTAACAACAACAAAAAAATCTTCTGGTTTATGAGGGAATTGTATCCAGGAACCTTATTTGAGACAAGATTAAGCACAGGTTGTGTTCTTTCTTTTTTTAAGAGAGAGGGTTTTGTTTTTGTTTTTGAGGAAGATTGGCCCTGAGTTAACATCTTTTGCCAATCTTCCTCTTTTTCTTTTTTCTCCCCAAAGCCCCAGTACGTAGTTATATATCCTATTCATAGGTCCTGCTAGTTCTTGCTTCTGGGACACCTGCCTCAGCATGGCTTGATGAGCGGTGAGTAGATCCGCACCCAGGATCTGAACCGGTGAACCCCAGGCCGCGGAAGCAGAGTGCCCGAACTTAACTGCTATGCCAAAAGAACCCCATGTTCTTTTAATTTAATAATAAAATCCTTGAGAAAATATATATACTAAGTTGTGTTAAAATTAGCAGTATTTCTTAAGCATAATCAGCTGATCATTTTTTTCTACCTGATTTAACTAAAACCCTGAATCATGAAGAAAATACACACAAATCACAGTTATATGTTCAGTTTATTTAAGGACATTTGAGTTTGAGGAAACTTCATTTAAATGTTTGGCCTCTGAAAGAAGGTTCTAGAAATTCTACTAGCAAAAGTTGATTGCTGGAGAAAGGGAAAATGACCACAAGCAAGAACTCTGAACTAAAAGAGATTAAAATGTGCATCTGAGAGTGCATGCCACCAAATGTTTGCAGCATGAAGCTTCACGGTATAAAATGCGGTGATTATGCTGTTGAGAAAATACAGTTGGGAAATGGTCGTGGTAAATTTCAAAATGTTATGATCACGTCATACAAGAGTGAATTAAATGGATTTGTCTGTATAGTAGTAGATTTCGTCTTTTTAAAAAACATCTTGAAGGAGTAGAATGGCTTTCCCCATCAGGTAATTTGAAAAGTTTTGTTTCGTACATATGGAATAGGACTACAATGTTTGCTTCTCATGGTCCTCGAGGGATCCAGTGCTTTAGGCCTAGTAGAATTTACTGGGTGAGTGTTTGTGGTGAACACTGGGGGAACGAAACTGTGGAAATTAGCTGAGTGTGCTTTCACATGCCCATCCCATTCCTGGCAAGTGCTCCTAAGTGGCCATCATGCTGCCATCAGCCCATTAACCTAGGAGTTGAGTCCTGACCTCCAGACCAGAGACTGGGTGCAAGTTTGGCGACGAGCATGACCTTTTCCATCCTGTCCAAAGTTATGTCCGTTGATTAGGTGTGGGGTTCACAAAATCCAGTGCATGATGTACTGCTATTTAAAGGAGCCTCTGAATCAAGAATCATAGTAGAAATAAATGTAATTTATCGAAAATTTTTTTCAATATTGAGAATAAAGGATAGAAATTGTATTAGCAGGCAGATTGTAGTTGCTTTAATGATTTCTAAGTTTTACAATTAGAGCCATTTATTCTGTTTAGCAAATCTGATTTAGCACTCAATTGTAATATACATATCAGGATAATGATAGGTCAAATTGGTGGAATTTGGAGTCAGAAACAAGGAAATTAGCCTTAATTGGTTAGAAGAGGGTGGAAAAATGCCCCAAATATTCTGGCCAACATGATGCTAACATCACAAAGTTATGAAATGATCTGCCCCTAGTAGTTTCCTACATTTCTACTTTATAAAGGCCGGGAGAAAATAAAACTAGTACAGTGAACTTGCAAGTTGCCATACTAATGCAATGCCAGGGCATCAGATAATTGGAATATGTACATTTATTTTTCAATAATTTCAGTTTCTACTCCAACCGAGAAGTATATTGGAAGCAGCTCATAAATATGATGATTAACTGCCTTGCGTTTCTTTCCCCTGTATATTTTTATCTTTTCATTGGCACCAGGTGAAATGTGTAGAAGGTGAGATAGAAGGAGGTTGATGATATGGATGGACTGATTGTAAATCTTAGGAGAAAACCTGCATTCTATTCCCTCATATATTCTTTGCTTTTTATCGGGACCAGGTAAAACATGAGAAGTAAGGAGGTGGAAAAAGCGGCCTCATTTTAATTCTTAGGAGAACCTCACTGTTGACATATTGGATTTAGCTAAAAGTTAAATGACACCCAATTATGCATTTTCTCACTAAAAGTTCTGTTTTGAAAACCTCTGAAGATCAGAAGTCTTGATAAATCTGCAGAAAACCCCAGAACTGTGTTTCAGTTTTGCTCCTTTCTGGACTGCAGCTGTAAGCAGCAGAAAGTGCAGGTCAGGTCCTCGCTGCCAGCACCTTGGGAGGCCATGAAATACCAGAGGATGCATCACCTCTTTTGATTTCTCATGGCATTGGATGTTCTCAAGACCTGTTCATGCTGGTAGTAAGATATAGTGTGCTCTGCAGACTTAGACATCTTTTTTTTCTGATGTAGGCTTTGTAAAAACACCAAGCAAAATAGATGAAAAATTTTAAAAACTTGCCAGCCAGCATTTCTAAGGAATCGAAAGATATTACAGCCAATTATCGTTTAACAAAGATAAATTTTTCCTTGGCATTGGAAGAATAAAGTAGGGAACCTTAATGTAGTGGATATGATCGAGGTAGTAGGGTACTGGAAGTTAAATTCCTGGTGGGTTGTACTGCCATTAATTTAAAATTGGAGAGTGCCATGCGGCTCCACCTCTTGTTTCCCATCGTAATAATAAACCATTCCTCCTGCAGGGACAGCCTAGTGTCCAAGTGGAGTAGCACCCAGGGGCCAGCCTTGTCTTGAAACATCTAAATGACTGATGCTCGATCACCCAGCTAACGGGAGGAAATAATGTATTTTCCCAAACGACCGTATACTTGAGAGTTCAAAACCTCACCTCCTTTTCAGTTGCTGAATATTTTGGCTATACTTGAAGCTTATGGGAAACAAAAGATAAAGAGGGTTTATTTAAAAATAAATAATTTTTTTAAAAAGCCTGACATTTGGAAGTGAAATGCAGTCCCACAATGACACCGCTTTCTGTTTTGTGCATGTTTAGGAGATGTCATTATTATCTCTCAACGTTTCTTCCCCTTTTGTATGGTTAAGAAGATAAATTACAGCGTGTTCTGCACAGATATTTCCTGTCAGGAAGGAGAGGCCGTTTCTGAGCTATCCATTCTCCTGCTCCCAGTGAAAGCTGGCTGCCATCTCAGGGGTGGATTCACTTTGAAGTTTTAATGTGACGTGAAGCCAGCAGATGTTAAGGACATAGGTGGGACTGTTGAAGCATCCTGCATGAATTTTTCATAGCTGGCTCCCGCAGCTCAGGTGCACACCAGAAAAAGAATGGGCTGAACTCACCTGAGAGTAGACGTTTCTATTCTGAGGTCAAACCCAGGCAAGCTTTATAAACCTGTCAACCTGTTTTTGATTTTCACTTTGAAGATTTTACATTGAGTTAACTTTTGTAGATCAGATATTCTAAACTGAATTAATATGTGAATAAAAGTTTCTTCTTAAAAAAGAAGGATAGAGTATGGAGATGAGAAGAATTCTGTACAGTGATTAATCAATCTTTGTTTAAGTGCCATTGTACGTACCTCAGACACATCATCAGTTCTCACCCAATATTCAGAATGTCCAGTGTAATGAGATTCTCTACTAGGGATGAAGCTTAGATTAAAAAAGAAATGAGTGCCTCTCTCCTCTCTGTTTTTTTCACCTCTTTCATTTTAATGTCTCTTCAAACAACATTCACAGACAGGATATCATTTCCACTGATCCTCCTTCAGCCTGACAAACCCTTGCTTTTAATTCTGAAGACCACTTAACATTCTTTTGTCCTCTATAATGCTAATTTAACTGCAGACCTCATATGTGTTTAGTAGATGAAAGTGGGTTCCTGAGAATAATGTCCACGAACAGCCGTCCTAGAGGACTGCTCTGTAAAACATGGCTTTTATTGGCCAGATAAAATTCTATCTTATTTTTTGTGTGCCTTTAACATTAAGGAGGGGAGATGGAAGGCATAGCCTTTCAAATGTACTCTGACATGGCTTGGATTCCCAAAGCAATAGGTGTGGTTTGAAATATTACTAAAAACCAATCTGGAGACAGTGTCCACGTCACAAATGACCAATTTAGAATCCAGCTATAGCTTTACAGGATGTGTGGGATTTTACTGCCAGAATTTTGAGAAACATAAATAGGAAGTGTACTGTATAGTAGAGTAATGAGTTTAATCATTTAGCATGTTTTGAACCTGCTAAGGTGGGGTGTGTAATGAAGCATGCTCTGGCCTCAGCATCCTGGAGCTGGTTATGGACAGAACTAAGTCCAGGCTGTGGTCTCTAAAGCTTTTTTATAGGCACTCATCAGTAAACAAGTCTTGAGCATTCACCCCTAATATATGCATACTTAGTTATTGATAAATTATCAGCATTAAACTATCATACAAAAGAGATAAAGGTGAAATAAACAGTATCTTAAGTATCTTGATAATCATGAAAGTTTCATTCTATCTTTGGTTCATGTCCCATGGCACAATATACACTTTGTGAGTAGAAATCTGTATTTCACTTGGTCTTCCTGATGATGTTTAGTTAGTTTTAATTCTTAGGACATCTGTTTACAGAGAGTTGTTTATCCTGGTAATGCGGCTGATGAAGAGTGCATACCGAAAACAGCATCAGTGCTGCTGTTTGCTGTCCTTCATCCGTGTTCGTCTCATGAGTAACTCAGACCTGTGCTTTCTTCCCAGAAATGCTTTTGTATCCACTTATCTACTCTATGAGAGTTAGTTTAGTTAAA